TAGGACGGGGGGAGGAGTTAGGAAAACTGCTAGGGAGCATGTCAGTAGCTGGGAGGGTTGCACAATCCACTGTCATGCCTTTTTGCTATTTCTGTTTCCGTAGTTGGCGCCACCGGAGGCATCTTGTTTTTTTAATAGTTGGCAGAGCTAATGGACAATTCTGGCGCAAACAACTGTACGGGTACCTGGTACCGGTACCACCTAGTACGACGTACTGCCGGAGCGTTCACAGTCGTTCATGCAGCTGTTGTTGGCTTATGCAGTCACAGATGCAAAATGTGTGTGATCCATTCGGTGCTGCAACTCCTGTCCCGCAGCGTCATTGGCAGTCTGGTGGTCGAAACGAAGCACACTCGGGCTACCCATACCGTACGACCCATAGCGTGGATACCTAGCTAGAGCTCGGTTCCCCCACCGCAGCTCTCTTTTGACAAGTGGGTCGTTGCTTGAACTCTCAGAAGAGGAAACAAAGCACGACGTGACACCACATGACGTTGGCATATCTGTTGCTTCAAAAGCCTCCAAAGTTCAAGCAAGAAAGCAACGCACTTCCGAGCGTCATTCTGTTCTAGCTACCGGTAGCTAGTAGCAGACAGGGGGTGCATGGCTTCTCTACCAGTGCTACTGCTGCGAGAAAGGGAAAGGCTGTCCTGAACCCTGAACAATCCTTGAGATACGAATCCGAGCCCCCTTCCCCTTTTCCAATCAAAGTTGCAAAAGGTCCGGCGTTCGGGCCCAAGGCCAAAGAGGCCGCCCAAGAGAGGTGTTTGAAGAAGCTTTGAAGAGCTGTTCACAGCCAGAAGAGCAAGTGATGAGGGTACGCTCCGCCCCTTACTCATTGGCTAAAGAATTATAGCTTTATGTTTTAGACACCGTCAATCACACATCAAGGGCTGCAATCCAAAGACCTCTTGGAACCTTAAGCTAAAACAAAGCAATTATTGCAACGGGCAGCAGCCCGCACACCAGCAGCCAGATGCAAGGAGCTCTGAACTCTGATCTGGTGGTGAAAACCACCGAGTATGGCAGCGTTCGTCTATACTCAGATTATGGTGGTCCTACTCGAACGTATAATATTATCACAATAATATATAATATATATATGGTTGTACTTTTATTGCTTTTGTGCTTTATTCCTTAGCTGGCTGTCTCTTGACTGTTCAAAGGTACTGACGTGATGGTCTTTTCAACAGAGCATTAATGAAAGGACGGTTCCAGTGACGGGTACCGGCAAGAATGGGTTGCCCCCATGCTGGCACCATGCAGTACCGGCAAGACAATTTAGTTGAAGCTCATTGTCAGCAGCTCGGAAAGTTCGTCATGTAATCTGTGCGCGTCGTCCGCTGCTCCGAAAGAATATTTTTGTGGGTTGTTTTCTTTCACTTACAGTCGTTGTTGATACTTATGTACTTGATCATTCGCCTGTTCACATACATACATACATACATACATACATACATGTTCACATACATGAACAATGGTTAAAGTCTCCGCAATATTTCTCTGCCGTTGGGAAACATGAGCATTAAAGGCCCTTTGTGCAGCTCTTTGGGTACACACTCAGTCACAGTTGGGGCTTGTGGTGTGCCCCTCGGAAGAATCGTGAAGACGGTGGCGCAGAACCAAGATGTTTTTGGCTAGCTTTTGCTCCTTGCTCACTTTTTCACTTTTAGTGTTTTGGTCCGTTTTGCTGGTTATGCACGCCGCCATAGTTTTTAGATCCTGTGGTTCATAGGTATGGTACTGAGTACTCCAGAGTAATGGCCACTGTAACTGTTTAGTGGTACCGGCAGGCAAACCGTAAGCCACCGGACAAGTTTTGTCGCCACGACATGGAAGTGCATCGTTTTCGTCCAGAGTCAGTGGCCGAATGCTTTCAGTCTCGCAGTCCTATAAGGAAGTCTTTGCTGAAGAGGCAGTACAGCAACTATAGCCTGTTCAATTGGAAACAACAGTGGAACCTATCGAACAACGTGTCACGCGCTCGTGTGCTGCTGGAGAGTTGCTCCTGCGGATCCTTGATGCAGCTGATGTACGAGCAGGATTCTACCGTAGAGTCTCGCTTGCTGCTCTCATGCCGTACGGTACCAGTACCGCACCATGGTGTTGATCCAGTAGTTAAAAAAAACCTCAGCAGGAATAATATTTTTATCTACTGCACAAGCACAGCTTCTGCCAGCTACACACAATCCCGCTGTTTCAGATCCCGCTTATTCGAGTTCTCCTTTGTTGGCGACTGGTGCGTGTGCCGGTACCAGGTACAGCTGCTCCCGAGAGCTGGAGAGCTGAAGCTCTCGTGATCAAGAGAGCTCAGTCACCCGGTGACCAAAACTGAAGTTCCCCCCGAAGTGTCCAGCGGCTCGCACGCCCCATGCCCAGCAGTATCAAATGACTTAAGCGAATCAACTTTCACTTGATTGGCACGATCTCCCATTATGAAGTTAGACCCAAAATCAGAGTACAGCTAAATAGAGTTAGTAGAAAGTGACCAGCAGGGAAAGCTCAGGGAATCAGCATCGCAATGTCCATCATAAAAACTTCAATACATCACGTTAATACTGTAAGTATAGTGTACTCCGAGTGTAGGATAGGAGTGAGGAGTTGTGGCTTTATTGAACGTCACAAGCGGAAGTTTGCGGTTCAAAGGCGACCCTGTTTCTGTTGGCCGACTTTCCTTGAACAGCGTCTTTAGTTCATTGCGTCCAAGAGTGAATCTGGGCAAGATTGCCACATAGACAAGGCATTGTTCAAGGGGACAAGTACAGGTAACAAAATGTCTTCAAGAAGGCTTGAATCACACTTTCGTGGTTCTCCTTCACTGCGGAAATGTCTTGCCAAGACAGTTCACGGCCATTTTACAATCATAAATTTCGTATCGAGAGATCGCTTCCTATTGTCTAAGAACTTGCCTGTACTATACACGGGGCTTAATTGACTGCTTCTACTACAAAGCAAAAACTTATGTCAAAGTGGGTTTCAACTCGGAAGTTGACACTCGATATTCAACAGGCATGGGTGGAACGGTGGAACGGATGAGGAATTGAGAAAATACCCCTCTTGTTGGGCACCGGTGTTCAAGGTCTTCCAGCTTCGAGCTCTGCTTGCCAATTATTTGACAGTAGTGAGTTCACGGCGAAGTAAGTGCTAATGACTGGCCGAATCGCTCACGTTTCAGATGTGTTCATCCCCCTTCTTTACAATTTTTAAGGGTCTCACAGATTTAGGACTAGTTTTCGCGTGTACTATGGGCCGAACAGCAAAAGCTCTAAAAGAACTGTCATAATTACCAAAACAGCCGCTCACTGGAAAAGCGGCTTTTGTTTTGTATTTTCCAGGGAGCTTGGGAAAAGATATATTGCACACGCAGTCAATAAGCACAGAATAATTGCCAACCGCAAGCTGGCTGACTGGGGCCTACAAGGATAGTATTGATGTGGCAATGATGTGGCTTGCCGCAGGGAACTAATGGCCAGTAGTCAATGTAGACAGTGGTACCGGTACTGGCTAGAATGATTCAATCTATAGGACTTTTAAAAGCTATCTTTAACTACTCTGAGAGAGTCAAGTATTCTTTTCTTCTTGTATATGGTGGCTGCAATTGTAAAGGAGTGTATGTGCAGTGTGATAAAGCAGCTAGCCAAGAGCCCCTACTAAAAGACAACTAAGGTTTGCACTGCAGAAGAATATATCTCCTTTTACCGGTACTCTAGACTAACAATTATTGGCAACTGACTACTCTGGAGTAAGTCTTGAGCAAACAACAAAGGATGGTCGTCGATTGATTATTAGTTATATGGAACATGTCCGGAGGGCAGATGAGGGGCAATCGGTGTCGGTGCCACATTCGGATGGAGATATCTTGCCACCGGCAGCATCCACACCTATAGTCGTGTAAGATATTTCTCTTACCTCATCTTCATTTCTGACACATCTTAAGTGTGGCATAGTGTAGTCTCCAAAGGGGAAGGTAAAGCTTAACCCAGACGATTTACGATGAAGGCAATTATCTCTGCTGAAATAAGATTGAATTTCCCCTCTTGAGGCATCTGAATCAACGAAACCGAGAGAACAGCTGAGTAAATCGATGCACAAGAGTTCTGCAAGACAGCCTTTGTCCAAACCGACTTGCAAGCAGAGACTTCGCGCCCCACATCAGTAATTCATTATCCTCGAGGAGTGGCCTCTTGATCAGCTGAACGTTCATCTGACTGGCTCATCTTGTCTGTCCGGCCATTTTGTGCTTCCTTCTCAGCTCCAGATTCGATTTGTTCCACCTTGAAAGCTCCCCCAAACCAAAACCAAAGACACAATATCACAAAGTCGAAAAACGAAAGAGCCGAGTTATTACCATTAGGCAGCTGTCATCATCAGCAGCTGTAACATTGACCGATCCAACCTTGTGAAAAACCCGTTCACCGTGCTCCAGCATCCAGTTCATCCCTGTATTCGTTGCTTGCTCTCACCTACCTAGGATTCTTCCATCCGTCCATCTATTCACTCCTCCATCTATCTATCTATCTACCTTGACCACACAGTCGGCAATGATGTATCGACGCTCCAGCAGTACTCCCGAGGAGCAAGAATTGCTCGATGCCCGACGCCGCTTTCTCTTGGCTCAAGCCAGTGGCAGCGGTGGTGGCCCTGGAGAAGGTATGGGAATGGGCGAAGGTGCGCAGCAACAGCAGCAGCTCAACATGCTTCGTGAGCAACAGATCCTCCTAGAAGCTCGGGCTGCAGCTCTGGCTGGCCATCCTCAGCAGCAGCAACAACAGCAACAGCAGCAAGCACAACAGTTGATGTCCAACGCAGCTCTTCAGCAGCATCAGCAGCACCAACAGCAACAGCAGCAGCAGCATTGGAACAGTTCCTCAAGTCTTTCCCTTGGCAACAGTAACGGTAACGAATCGGCGGCATTCCAGGACCAGCGATTCTCCCATCTTCAGAGAGCCCAGTTGGAGGTCCACAGACACGCACAGGCGCAAGCTCAGGCGGAAGCCCGCATGAAGGCCTTGTTGGCAGATCACGAAGCCCAGGTGGTCCAAGATCAACTCAGGTTGCAACTTCGTCAAGGGCGATTGAACACTCCCCCCTCTGCTTCTACCCTAAGTGCCAATGCCTATGACATGCTCTCTTCCGGGGCAGCTGGTGGTGCTGGTGGGGGGCGATCCTCTCTTTCTCTTCCAGGTGGGTCAGCCGCGGCAGCAGCCGTAGCGGCAGAAGCAGGAAACTCAAGGGCATCGTTGGAAGGCGCCAGCTTGTCGTCGGCAGCTCTTTTGCTACAGCAGCAGCAGCAGCAGTCTCCGGCAAGTCAACGGGCACGAATGTTGGGATTGGGTGGTAGCCAGCCGCAGTCGCAGCATGGTTCGCTCTTGAGGGCCAATGGCACCGCTTCGTCTGGGGGCATGAACAATGTCATACTCCCCAATGGTCTACGAGAAGAATCCATGTTCTTTGGCAAGATCTCTCGCGAGACATCGGCTGCCGCGGCTGCCGTTGACGTTGCACTCGATGTGCAGTCGCGACAAGGAGGCAACAAGAAGTACGATGACGGCCGTGGGGGGAATGAGAACTCCAAGCTTGATGACGACCATCCTTCGGCTTCACTTCGAGACAGCTCCAATTCAGCAGCAGCAGCGACCGCGAACGCTGCTGAAGGAGTAGGAGAAGAACCTGAGGAAGAGGATGAAGAAGACCGATTGGATGATGACGAGTACTTTCGTCGGCACCATCCTCCTGCTAGTGGAGACAATGCGGGCTCTTCCAACGAAGCAGGTGGGAACTCGTATCCCATGGCCCGCGAAGCTTTCCCTCTCAAGTTGTACCGCATCCTTTACGAGGCTGAACAGAACGAACAAGACGATATCATTTCATTCTTCCCCCATGGACGAGCCTTTGCCGTACACAAGTCCAAAGAGTTCACACGCGATATCATGCCCAAGTACTTTCCTGCAGGGCGCATGAACACGTTCTTGAAGCAGCTCAACTTGTATGGATTCCGGCGAATCACCGAAGGGCGGGACAAGGGTGGTAAGTGTGACTGGTTGCACCTTCGAGTGTGCTGTTGTTCTGTCTCGGATGCGATGACTCATACGTTTTGTTGCTTTCTTTCTACTGTCTACTTCTAGGCTACTTCCACAAGGACTTCTTGAAAGGCAAAAGGCACATGTGCAAGAAGATCAAGCGAAAGAAGGTGCATGTCAACAAGGCCCCTCCTCCCACACCAGCCCAACACGCGCCCGCATTCTTTTCGCACCCTTCCTTTGGGCGCATGGGGGCGTCGAATCTTCCTTTCCTTGATCAATTGTCGTCTACCTTTGGTAGCAGCAGCAATCTGTCTCAACAGCAGCAGTTACTGCAACACCAACAACAGTTGCTTCAGCAGCAGCAACAACAGCAGCAGCAGTTGCTCTCTGGGTTGCAGCTCTCAGGTTCTGCTTCTAACGCTGCTTCAATGTTTGGCAATGCTGCGTTCAATCGCGAACGACTTCTTCTGGCGTCTTCCAGCACGGAGAACGTGGCTCAGAATTACATGCAAGATCTGTCATCACCCAGCTCGGTCAACAACTCCGCAAGGCTCCATCCAGCGAACTTCCAGAACTTCAATGGGAATAACCATCCAAACCTTCGATAGACAACTGGGAGCTCTCTCTCTCTCTGGATTCTCTTCCAACCAGTTCAATCGTTCATAGTTGTAAACGAGCTATCATAAAGAATACTTGCATATCTTCCAATAATCATTCCGTCCCTCTTGGAGCAGCGTTGTGGTGGCGTCTTCGAAGACGCTGCTTTTATTCGATTCGTGATTCGGTTCGAACTACTGGTAGAACGAATCGAATGATGAATCGAAAGGGCCAACCATCTGGAATCACAATCACTGAACCAAACATACAAACAGGAACGATGAGATAACAAAGGTTTAGAGTCTTGGCTACGGTACTGCTGGGAATTATGTACATGTAGTAGCCAAGGGTGACCACACATGAGGTGGTGGGATAGGCAACATGCGGTGCCTATGGGGCGTGTGATGACTAAGGAACACCTTTTCGTTACAGTACTTGGGCTGCAACCCTCCCGCCGGTTTTTGTTTTGTTTTGAAGTAGGTCTGTCTTTGGTTCATGTACTGGTAGCCACACAGCAAGCCTCTCTTTTTATGTGCCCGGTTAGAGCCAGCACATGTACCTTACTTACTAGAGCTCACCAGACCCTGACTGCCCTTGCTGTCTTGCAGCTCAGATGGATTATATTAGAATCCCGTGGAATGTGAGCATGTGTGTGAACACGCCTGTGTTAAGTAAATAAGTGCATGCGCCTTCGGAGAAGTGCCGTGTACCGGTAGGCTTAGTCCTGATCAAGCTTTGAGTAAATCTCGATTTTAAAAGTGAACACGATCTATTTATCAGGGGATGTATTAATACTTTTTGCGAGTCATTTGTTTGGAAAGCGCGACAACGGGGAGGGTGGAGCTGGATTGTGTATGAAGATATCCTCCACTTTCCAGCTCTCTGCTGAGAGATTCAACATGGATAGAACAATGAATATCATCAACTGAAGAGATGGAGATCGGACGCCCGACTTCGTATAGTTCCTTTGTCACCGATACACCTCTTCACTTGTAACAGTTTGCTGTACCTCTGTGCTCTTTCGTAGCTCCTTTGATGTTCCATTCGCACCTTGCAGTACAACTCGAAATATCTTCAATCTTTTTCCTTCAGCTCCCTCTGATCTCGGAGGCTCAAACAATTTGGGAAAACGATGTAATCCCCTAAAGTCTCAATGTATGACTTTAATAATTGTCTTCATTCTCCCAAAATACTTGGGGGATCATTGATTGAAGACGGGGAAGTGAGGCATTCCTCATTGAAGTAAGGAACTAAGCCGACTCGACTCACCGGGACTTCACTTCATTTATACTGGTGTGCTTTCTTGGACCTTTCATCTTCATTCGGGGCTCGAAAGATCCATTGAGTAATAGTTCAATCCTATTTCGTGGGATTGCTTTAGGACAAGTAGACGAGTACCAGCATCCTACTGCTGAACCAAAATGGATTTTAGGAGATCGGTCTCTTTTAGGATTGGACTAATACATATGGGGTCTTCGCAAGCAGGCCCAGCTAGTCTATCGTTGCACCCCTACTGGAGCGGAGGTGCACCGATGACCCAGTCAATGTTCCAGTAAGCGGGTCGGACTGACATTCCTGCTTCCATTTTGCACCAGCTCGACCGTGATGGCAGGCGATTCTATTTCGGCGAAGCAGAAACCATTCCCGAGTGACGCACTAGAGGTTCGCATTGGAAGGTCACGTTTGACACCGAGTCATGCATCGGAGTCTACTAACAGAGAGAAAAGAGCCAGCATGCTGCCGGTACCGGCATGCCGACTTGCTGCATTGGTGCAAAAGTGTCTATTCCATGACAAAAATGAGGTAACCGGTACAAGCGTTCTACTGTAATCTATATAGTGAACTCTGCTCAAGGCTTACTATTTCAAGGCCTCTTTCGCCTCACAAATCGAACCGAAACAACGGCAAAGATGGTGTTTCGCGACTATGCTCCTGGTTCCACTCTCTGGGTAAAGACGGGTGCTCACCGTAATCAGGCTGCGACTTTTGTTGAGGGTGACGGCCCTCTTCACTGCTTTATTGAGCTGTTCAATAAGTCCAAGGTGAGAGTCAATTGGACCTCTATTGAGTATCTGTTTGATGAAATTGAAGAACACGGCAGGTGGACCGGCAGCCCCCATGATGGTCACTACCGGCGCAGCAACAACCACAACAACAACAACAACAACAACAACAACAACACCGGCCCTTACAGCAATGCGGTACCCAGTGGCGTAGAAATGAATGCCCTCTTTTACAGGTTGGTTCGTGCTGAAGCAGAGTGCAGCGAGCTTCGCGGCACCATCACCAGTCTCCAGGATCGAATTCAGGCCAATGAAGACCGCATTCAGGCCAACGAAGAGTTCTTGCACAACAGCGACATCCCCAGTGGCTTCTAGAGTAGTTTTTTAATCATTACTAGTTGTTAATTTGTTATCTATTTACTGTTTTGCCTTCGCCTTCTTTGAGTTGCCTCGCGTCTTGCCTTTCTTGATGTAGCCAAGTGACTGTAGCCCCTTGACCAAGTTGCCGAGAGAGCATCTTGCCTCGGTGAATAAGCTCTCCCAATTGGCAATCACTTCGGTTGCACTTTCTCTCGCTTAGCATAGTCGTTGATACCACAAATGGTCCTCTCACACAAGAGAAGTGGTCGGCCGTACAGTCACGCGGGTAGTGGTCGCG